AGTGTATATCAGGGTTTCCATGGCTCATTAAAAATCATTAAAACTCATTAAATTGTTATTTTTTAAATTAAGGCCTTAACTGGCATTAAAATTCATTAAATGTGTTTATTGTGGCATTTAAAATGCTTTATTACAAAAAAACGTTTATAAAAACAATTTCGTCAGACATATTATATCAAGATATATTTGCGTGGAACTGCTTCCGGTTAATTTTAAAGCTGTATGTTCAGAAAAGAAGCTTGAGTCAGAGAAAAAGGTAGAGAATGGGGGGAAAAAAAGCTAATTTCAACAAAAGCGGCTGGAAAACGAGGAATTTGAGAAATGGCTGCAGCCTGTCGACTGGTACCTGTTGGTGAAATTAAAATGATTTCTCTGAGCATTAAAAGAGCATTAAAAAGCATTAAATTTGAGTTTTCATTCCCGTATAAACGCTGTATATGTATTTTGTCTGCACCCTCAACACCAAGTTCCTTGTAAGTGCAAACCTACTTGGCAATAAACTTGATTCTGATACAAATGTTAAAGGGATCAGGGTCAGTGTTCATAATATTATCAGTGCATGTTGCAGATCAATTCTAGTATTGTAGGAAATATCGATACATTTATTTTTTAAAAAGCACTAAAAGTTTGCAGAATTAATTTTAATTTAGACACACTGGAGCTTTTCATCAGATAAGTTTAAAGCTTCCAGGACATCATAAAACATTCATGTTGTGTTTTTTTTTTTACTTGCTAATGGCCTCTGGATCGCTGACCTGCTTTATAACCAAGGGGAGCTTAAAGTCACAAACATTTTCTCTTAACATTTTCTGGGAGCGACAGTAATTCATATCTCTGTTGTTTGCAGCAGGTTATCCAGATCTCTGAGGATTTTGTTTTTCTATAACATTTTGTCATCTAAACCAACTTTTCCCTCTTTCCTCCATAACAGCTCACCCTGCGCATGACATCTTACTTTTTAGCTTGTCAAAGCAGTTCTTTTTACACAATTTATTGATTACATTTTTAAAGATTTGAAACAATAAGGTAAAACAATAAGTATTATATAAAGAGAAGCACTTTGCCAGCTTGCAGCCTTGGTGCCTGTGTTCGCCGCTCATATTGACTGTGAGAACAAGCCGACATACTAATGACATGGAATGATTGACAGTTTAGCTGAATTGAAAGGCTGACTCCATTATTCTGATGAGCGTCTGGCTCATTTCCTTTCCTGGGTCACATGACTGCAGGTGCATTAAGCTGCCCGCTAAATGCATGTAAAATTAACACTAATTTGTCTTCTGCAGGTGCAGTAACCGGGGCTAAATGGCGGGCATGGGGAGCAAAAGGAGGAAGAACGCCAGCTGATTCCCTTCTATACATCCACAGCCTGCTGCCTGCAGCCAAGCTGAAAAACAGAGATGGCTCAATCCATCCGAAGGCCGGAGAGTTTAGGAGGCGTGAACCTCAAACCACAGGGGGAAAAGACCAGGACTGGCTACTTCTGCAACGTGAAGAGCAGGTCAGGCCTCAAATATGACATTCTGTAGAGGTGATTGGACCTAGATTTACATATACAACAATTCAGACTTTAATGCTAATGTCATCATCATCGGTTTGTGAAGGACTCCATGACAGCATCATGTGGGTGAATGTAGCCCCATCTTGCCAGGAACTCTGGGAAAACTCCTACTCCACTATAAATAGCTCAGTGCAGACTGAATGCCAGACTGTTCGGTAATTCACACTTTAATTCTCCAAATGCTTGAAGCTGTCTAGAAATAAAGTTTCTGAAAGAGCTGATTGAGTATTTAGAGTAAAGCTGAGCTAAAAGTGCTTCACAGAAAATGAAATAAATCAGATACTAAATCATCTTTTATTGAAGAGATGCAGTAACCCATAAGATATGAGTTTCACTTTAAGGAACGTTGTTTGTTTAGTTCTGGTTCTGGGACCTAGACCTGCTATGTCGGCATAGTTTATACCTGACAGGTAAGCCTTATTACAAACGATTGTTATTTATTAAATATTACATTTTGAAATATGTCCTTTTTTATTGGGATGCACTGCAACTGGTGTAATACAAACATTACCGTACTGGTTCCTGGCAGGACTCTGGCACACAGCCAATTGCAAAAGTAAACTAAGCTACTGCTTAGGGCCCCACGGTAACTAAGGGGGCCCCTTGGCTCCCAAGAACAGTCAATTGTTTTGGTTTTTTCGCTTGTAATGATTTCTATATAAATATAATAAAGAAACAGAGACTTACAAGATTAAACTGTAAATTTTACAGTCGCTATCTTGTAGAAATCATTACTTATAGATTAGAAAATAAATTATTCTTCTGGCCAGATTAACACACAGATTCTGAAGGAGCTTCAGAAAAAAAAAAATCTACAAAAAAACAACAACCTTCCAGACATCCTAAAACAGAGATGACCTCATGTTTAATTGCCTTTCTCAAAATGAGATCTGAGTTCTACTTAAATCTTTTTTTGGGCTCTGCAGATGGCCTGCATTCTCCCTGTTAATGTTGCATCTGCATACTGGAGCTTTTTCCAAGTCAAAATTAAGAAGAAAAATCTTCCATAGTAAAAGAATGACGAAGTGAGCGTGCAGTCACTGATAGCCAACCAAGCTGGCTATCAGCTCTCTTCTATAATATCATCAGGGACTTTAATAACAGTAAAGCTGGGATGCAAAGTTTCTAAAAAAGTGAGAGGAAAACTGAGGAAAGACAATCTAGCATAAAAAGGTGAGTAATGGTGTTTTAAAATATAACTTTTTAAAGTTATATTTCATTTACTACCTGGTTTCCAGTAACTGCGCTATTTCACTGTGCACGCTAAAAAATGTACAAACTGATCTATCAACAGCGTGCTAAAAGGATTTGGTCTTTAAAACGTGCTAAATAGCGCCTCTTATCCATTTAGTACTTTTTCTGCAATGAATATGCAATATGGGGCGTTTACACGCAAAAGTGCGTCTTGTGGGAGGAGAACATGTAAATATATTAATTTAGCACTCGCAAAGTGATTTATCAAACCTGAAAGCAATTTTGCTAACGGTATCTGACTCTATATTTAACACGTTTCAAAAGAAGGTGCAAATGGTCTGTATGCGTAATTGCGCACACATGGCAGCGGTTATTGTCGCAAGAAGGAGACATGGAAAGGAAGCAAGGACTGCTCCCTGGGCGCTGCACAATGGCAGCCCACTGCTCCAAAGGGGGATGGATTAAATGCAGAGGTAAATCTCCATTGGGAGATCAATAAAGTTCAGTTATTATTAGGTCTGTAGGGTAGAGGCAGTGATATGATTTGGACAATGCTTTATGAAAAACTAGAGAAACTATTTCAAGTGGGCCTTTTCCATTTCTTACAACATCTTTGAACATTGCTTGACTCTAGGCTCAAAGTTCGCTTCATTGCTCCAATAAAGCCTTTTACTTGCGTAGTTCAACAGGTTTGTTGGGATTTTTTTCGCTCGTGACTCTTTCATGATGACATGTAGCTGCAAGTCGTGTTTGCTTTTTGAACAGTCTACATGCCTCTGCAGAAATACCCTGAATATTTTTCCTCTGTTAGCCGTGAACTAGGATTCAGCTCAACAGCAGCGCTGCATGCCGTGCATTCTCTTTCTGTCTGAACTCAAATTGATCTCGACAGTTCCTGCCACCTGGTTATGACATTATTGCCTTATGAAACAGCTGGCTGAAATTATCCTCCTTGTCTTTAAAGAGTGTCTTTGCGAATCATTCCTACCCATTTAATCTTTTCACATGTCCCATTTCAACCACAGACAATGGCATTTTGAGCAATTGATAGACAGCCACCAAGTGGGCTTGCACCGATTAATCAGCCTTGCAAATCAAGAAAGGGAAATGTTGCCATGGAGATAATCATCTCTCTAACTAGAGCTGTCAATCTCTGCAGCTCCTCCAGAGTTCCCAAGGCCTGGTGCAACTCTGATCTATTCTCCACTGGTTTAGGAAGACCTCCTTGTCTTGGTAGGTCAGTAGTTGGCAGGCCCCGCTGAAGAATAAATCAACCATTGAACCATTAAACTAGTAAAACTCAACTAAACTGAGCTTCTATGGACACAAAAAGAAGTCATAGAAAATGGTTGAAAACCGTAATCAATAACATCATGCACTGATATCACAGTTGTGCATGGATTTTATATTTCAGAACCATAGTTTATCTTGAAGTCTATGGGATTATGTAAAATGTGCTTTTTTATCTGTTAAAGCCACAGTGTGTAATAATTACAGGGATATACAATCAGAAAT